TGCTATAAGATATTGAGAGCAAAGTACATTTCTCTACAACGCTCTAGTATAATATTTATAAATAATTGTTTAACCCATCCCTTTCAGGAACACAAACATATGCATAAAATACTGCGTACTAATTGATACTAGATAATATTAATTTGTTTCAATTTTATTTTTTTATTTGAAAATTATATGAGCTTTCCAAAAACCCCTTAAATAAGCCTCTTCATATAGTCCTAAGTATATGATCTCTTTTTTATTATTTACGAATCCTGATTTGGGAATCCTGAATTCTCAGTAATTAACGATTGGAAAATTTTTCATAAATTTTAAAAAAGTAACTTGAAGTTCTAGTTTTTTTTCTAAGGTACCACTAAATTCATATTAGAAATATCTCATTGAAATATTACCAGGGCCACTATTTGTATTTTGAGCCTACTAATGAAAAAATGGGTTGTCGTTGAAAATTGCTTTATTGTTTCTCAAAGTATTCTCCTTTATGATTAATACGCTTTTGAATGCGTTCGAACCATTTGTCACAGCATTTTTAACAATCTTCTTCAGACACCTCCAAAACATGGGTTTTAAATGCAAGAACGGCTTTGTGGGTTCGTTGTTTCTTCCACCGATAAAAATCATTGTCCACGCAATTATTGTTCTTGACGTTTGGGAACAATAATCAATAATTATTGTTCGCAAATAATAATTATTGTTAGACGAGATGGTTGACCAATCGCATTGTCTTGATGGAGAGGGAAGAATGATCCGACGGCGCTTGTTTGTTTACCGTATTGCACTAAAGACTTCCACTTTCGATAAACAAATGATTGTGTAATCGTACCATTCGGACTTGACCATTTTACGTTGCTATAATGGTACACTCGTAGTTGCCATACGATCAGTTTTCCTGAAAAAACAAGCAACCATTTGTTTCAAAGTGCTTCTAGCCTGAAAAATTTTTTTTGGATTTAGTTTATCTTGAAAATAAACAGACTCACATGTTATAGCCGACTGCTGTTTATGTTCCGGCTCATACGCATATACATATCTATGATTCTTCATCTCTCACCTGTTACAATCTTATACTCGTATAAGTATTTTGGAGCACAGCTATTGTAGTTCTTAGGCATTTGTGTGCTAACGCGCTTCTTTTTGAGATTTTGTCAAATGATGTGGGATGGGATCCTGTGGTACTTTATTACTATGTGAGATTCTTTAAAATAAGGTGATAAGCAGCAACAATTTTCAAAAAAATATATTCTATAGATCCCGAATAATATAGAAAATTACGGCTCTTATTCAAATGTAGTAGCTGCGTATATATTTTTAAGTTCTAGAATATATAGTGGGTTAAATACGGACTGTACAATAAGTTTTGATGTGGTCTGCTGATGTGCTATTTTGTGAATGAGTGTTCTACAAAATAGCACACTGATATACACTGATTGACAGAACACAGAATATATATATATAATGTACTCGATTTTATCATGAACACCTGCAACTCAATAGAGCGGTAGGAGTTTTTAAGTGAAGATGTGATCTGGTATATGTGATGAGATCTGTGATCTCTAGCCACACTGACGATAAGAATCTGTTAAATCGGAAATAGTAAATTTAATAGCCTCTAAATGGTTATTTCAGTGCAACCAATTGTTAATAAAACTGAACCTAATAATGTTGTAATTTAAATTTGGGCGGGTGATCAATGATTTTCTTGATATTTTTGTTTACATTTAATTATTATTTTAAATTTTATTTGAATGGCAAACACCACTTTGAAAATATTAAAAATACATTTAACATATTTATTACGTACAATATAACTTAGTATAATTTTGATGTATATAATATATATAATATATAACGTCACGTCAGTGGGAGTGATTCTACCTCTTCAATATTTTCAATATGTTGTGTAAAATCCCGGGTCTCTTTCTCGAAGTCACGTTTTCAAAAAGAATACGGGACCAAAAACAAACAAAGGATGTCGTTAGAAGTTCTATACAGTTGTTACGTTTAAGTAGGAATCGGGTCATCTAAAAAAAAAGCAAGCTAAATACAAAATAACTATTTAGATATTTTAGTGAGACTTAGTCTTAAGATTAAGCTTAAAATAATTAAAAAACAAAAACTTAAGAAGGACACAATGTCTGCTTTTAAGAGTTTTGCTTAAATTGATAAAATTAGTATTTTAAATAGTTTCTATAAAAAATAAAAATTTTTGAGTAACTGAAAAGCTCTCCGAGTTATAAAAAATATATAAATATTTTTAAATTTAAATTTGTTTTAAGTAAATTTTAAATTTATTTATTTTTGAATTGATCGCATTGTTCTACTATTAATTTTTTTAGGTTTTTTAAAATTATTATTACTTGTATATCAATAAATATATCAATATATATCAATAAGTAATATATATCATATAATATATCAATTAAAACATTATAAATAAATTTTTAAGTATTTATTATTTCGTATATATGTTATTTAATTGTTAAATACAACATATGAGTCATTGTTTTAGAAATGGAACAGATTTTAACAAAAATTTAATCACCTCGTTTTTTTTAAATATACTTTTTTAAATATAATTTTGTTTTTTTACGGGCTAATTGGTCAATTGTTGAATAATAAACTTTTTAAAAAATTTTTATTTGTTTTAAACACATTTTATTTTAACCCATATTTCGACTATAATCTATAGTCACCGTCAGGATACTATAAAATTTTAATATAATGTAACAATATTTTATTATATATCAGAAAGAAAAAATTATAAAATACATTAACACTAAAACATGAATTATAATATATATATATATATATAAAAGAATTATACAAAATTATGAAAATAGATATAAAAATGGCATATAGAGGAAAGATATATTCCGGAAAACATCTTCAGTTTTTGTACACCTGAGCACAAAGTTATATGTCAGTTTTATAGCTAAGTGTGGTGTCACTAGGAGTTTGGAGGATGTATAGCATTTCCAAGAAAAAGCGTTTTTGTTGATTATTTTCTTGGTGTAGCGCCTTTACATTATCAAGGTCGGGCTCATGTTTTGATATAATATGTTATATATATATATATAGTTATATGTATATATAATATAATTTTCAAATAGACTGAAATATATATTTAAATCAATATGAACAAACAATAAAAAATAACAGCAATTAGTGTGCAGTTACATATATGAAACTTTTAATATATATATATATATTATTTAAAATTATCACCATATACTTGTATTTAACATATAAGAAAAAAACAATAATATACAATTTTGTTAATATATTATATTGAAAGTAAAAATTGAAATTGAAATACTGATTATTAACATTAAATCAAGACAAACTATTTAATGAATAATATTAATACTTAAATAAAAATAATTTTAATTGCTTCAACTTAATTTAAATGTTCAACCAATTCTCTTAAAAATATAGTTATCCTAAAATCTCTCTTATTAGAGAAGAACATAAAAAAATTAGGGTTGATAGAATAATGACCACTATATTTTTTTTTTTGTTTCATTTAATAATATGTCTTTATTTAATCGCTTTAAATTAAAGCCTAACAAGAAGTTTCAGAATCTTAAAGACTAATTACATTACATTAAAAATTATTTTATATAAACATACTATAATAAAATATATAATGATTTGTAAATTATTTTAAGGGACCTCTGAATAAGTAGCCAGGGCTTATTTTACAGATTTCACGGTGTATAAGTTGAATTAATCAGGGTGATCTTTAGGAAAGCAGGATGGAGGGTCTCTTATTACGTTTTAATCTAGAACCATTATACTGCTTTGGAACCTATATCGCATTGTGATCGAGACATATACATACTATACTCATCACATACATTACAAATGTAACTTCATTACTTTTTAAAGTGCAATTCTCAGTGTTAAATAGATATTATTAGATAGATATTATTTAAAATATTATTACTCTTTCTGTATGAAATGTCTTCTGCACTATATTGTATGTATGTATGTATTGCTCGTAATTTTAATGACTGATTAATTTTAAAATGTATTGTAAGTGTTATTTTTTTTTTCCAAAATTTGTTTATAGAAAGCCCCAATCGGATAGTTATTCTAGCACACAATTTGTATCTAATTTTTATATGGTCCAATTACGTATAGCTCAGGTTTAGTATGTTCCTTTTAAAAAACGAGATTGTGAAATGTTTCTGTTAAAATATCTCAAAAGCACCGTAGAAAAACTGCAACAGTTTTAATAGCTAAAATTGCATGTTGTGAACTCGAAAATTGCAACAGAAATAGTTAAAATTTAAATTCAGGTTTCGCATTATGTTTTCGTTTTTATTTTTCGAATTTTTGTATTGAATATTTACAGTACACGTTTTGAAGTATATTTGGCAATATTACAAAAAATTAAACAAAATTGCGCAAAGCTATTATTAATATTAAAACTTAGACGTATAAAAAGCAATCAATACATTTTACATATGCTAAGGATTGGAGTAATACATTTTTAAATTTAATATAAGATTCGTTTTAAAATTAATTACATACTTATAGTTTATACATATATATATATATAATTATTTCGAAGTCTTGTACGCATTAATCGACTTAAGAACTAACATTAGAAATATAAAAATTATTTGATCACATGTTTGGACGCTGCAAGGAGACATACGACGAGGAGGAGGAGAAGCTCCTTTGCATCTTTTCACTTAAGCTAGTGTTATATTTTTACTAAAAGTACACTTAAATATAAAAACTAAAACATATATAATCACTGTAAAAAATTATGGCTTAAGCTAATAAAAAAAAACATACAAATTTCAACGACTTAAATCAAAATTATCATAGTAAGAGACCTAGTAATTCAGTTATTTGTCAGGAATTTTTTAAACAATACATTCAAATGTGTTCACATTGTTCCGCCAGTCAATTTCAGTCCACCTTTAATGCTGTAAGAGAACAAAAACAAAAACTCGGTAATAGGCATTCTTACTTTTTAAAACTATTTAGAAGTTTACCCCGAAATCATGATGATCGTATTCGTGATGATCGAAACTGTGTAAGTCACCGTGAGATTCATGATGTTCCTCAATGTGTTTGTGTACAAAGACTGGTTCTTTGTAGCTGATGTGTTTTTCATGATACTCAGGAACATGTTTTTCAATGTGGACGGGTACATGTTTTTCAACTGGTACTTTAACTGGGTATGGTACATGTTTCTCAATTTTTACTGGTATTTCCTTGATAACTGGATATGGTGCAGGTACATGTACTTTAACTTCATAAGGTACTGGTTTCTCGACATGTACTGGTACTGGACGATCATAAGGTACATGTACGGCAACAGGTACTTTCTTGATAACATGTACTGGTACAGGTTTTTCAACATGATAAGGTACTGGTTTCTCTACATGATATGGTACTGGTTTCTCAACTGGTACTTTGACTGGATAGTGTACAATCTTTTCAACTGGATATGGTTTTTCTACTGGTACATGCACTTTCACTGGTACATGTACTTTCTTTTCGACTGGATATGGTGCGGGAACATGTACTTTGACTGGAACATGTACTTTCTTCTCAACTGGATAAGGTTCTGGTACATAAACTTTTACTGGTACTGGACGATCATAAGGTACATGTACTGGATAGGGTATTTTCTTTTCAACTGGGTATGGTGCTGGAATTTCATGTGGTACTTTCACAATTTCCTTAACCTCATATGGTATAGTTTTGACAACTGGATATGGTTTTGGCACCTTTACTTTGATTGGTACATGAACATGTTTTTCAACTGGTACATGAACATGCTTTTCAATTGGTACTGGTATCGGTACCTTCTTGATAATAGTTAGGGTTTTCTCTTCATGTGATGGATAGTGGTGGTAATCCTCGTAGTGGTGTAATCCACGTTTGGTTTTAGTAGTATCGTTTTCATCGGCTTTGGTATCTTTCGCTTCAGCTGCTTTATCTGCTGGTTCGGCTGATTTCTTCTCAGCACCTGCAGATTCCTTTTCAGCTTCGGCTTGAGTGTAGTTGATGGCTAAAAGTAGAACAAGCGCCAAAGGCAATGCTTTTCGCTGCGAATAAAAAAATCAAAGAACAGTTTTTAGTGAGATTGTTTAAATTTTTTTTATTTTCTTCTATAAAATTATTTTTATGTAGTATTTTAATAAATTTACATCAATTAATGTATCTTATTTGATTTAATTATATCATATTTCTTTTTATTTTGCGTTATTTTCTAAATTATTTTAAGTAAGTTAATTTGTATTGTTTTATATTTACTACTAATTTTTTTTCAAATTAATGAATATTGTTTTGTTTTATTTATTTTATATATATTTATTTAATGTTTTTTATTTTTGCGTAAATACATTTTATTTTACTTTGTATTTTACTATGTATTATATTGTTTATATTATTTTAGTTGTTTAATAATAGACACAAGTCCTCTCCAGCTGAATAGTTGGAGGAATTTTGCTTTATAAGAGTGCATTCTAACTTTTATAACTTTTATAACTGTTTCTATCCTTATTTTATTTTATTATAGCGTATTTTATTTATTTCATATAACTTTATTTAACTCCATTTTAATTTATTATACCTAATCTGTTATAATTTTTTTAAAATCACTTAATTTTGTTTTATATGAATTGTTTTGATTTCAACATTTTCAAAATATTTCTTTTTTTGTGTGTCAGTTTATTTATTTTATATTAGTTTAAACCTAATTTGTTATTAAATATTATTTTGTATCATATTTATTTTGATTTTTTTATTTCATTTTATTTTGATTTACTTTATTTCATTTCAATTTACCACATTTAAATTTTTTTTATAATAATTTATATATATTATTTTATTAGTTTTTAATAATATAATGTTGTTGTAATTTATTTTTTTAAATAATATCATCTTATTTTATTTTGTTTTTGTCTTATTTAATATAATTTTGTTTATATTTCATTTTATCTTGTTTTACTTTATTTTATTTTAATTTACCACATTTAAATTTTTTTGTCATAATTTATACATATTATTTTATTAGTTTTTAATAATTTAATGTTACTGCAATTTATTTTTTTAAATAATTTCATATTATGTTATTTTATATGTGTCTTATTTAATTTAATTTAATTTTATTTTATTTTATTTTATATTAGCAATATATTGTTCGTACAATTCAGATTCCTTAGACTTATTAAGTTTTCAATTGGTTATTTACAAACTAAGAAAGTGGTTTACGGTGGAATTGTTAAACTTATTATTTTAATTATATTATTTTATAATTTATGATTTTTATGTGTAATATAATATAAATACATACAGTTTTTTTGATTAATTAAAAAAAAAGGAATAAAAAAACAAAAAATTAATATTAAATAATTAAATTTTTTATTTGTATTGATATTTATTAAAATGAAATATAATACTAGAATTGAACATTTTTAAATTTAGTTATTATTATTAAAAATTGCGTACTAGTTATGTTTTTTATGAAAAATTATTCCATAATTTTGTTTGTATGTATTTATCTACAAGTTTTTATTTTTTATATATTTTTTTTTACCTTAGGTTTTTAAATTATTATTGTATATAATACATTATGTAGTGTTATATATAACACATCATAAATTTTATTATTTTAATCATATATTTTGGAAACATATTAATAGAAATTTGAATCATTTTTAAAATATTATGCAGATTTTTATTTTTTAGTTATATTTTGACAAAACTTATTTCAAATCAAATATATTGTTAATAAACTATATATGGAATTAAAAAATGATTAAATCAATTTCAAGAAAAATTATATTCATTTTTTGTTTTTCTAACTAAACTAAATATAAAATCAATTTATTTTATTATTATTTTTATTATTATTTTGCTATTATATTTTTTTATATTATTTTAAAATTATTTGTTTTTAAAGTTACACTTTTTTGATGTTAATCGTGAAGTTAATTGTATATTTCATTTTGATTTCTATTTTGTGAAATTTATTTAATTTATATTTTAATATTTTCTTAATCAATTACATTTTAATATAAATTTAATAAAAAAAAGGTTCAGCATTTTTTTTTTTTTTAATTATTGAATGTAGATATAAGTAGATTTTGCTGTTAAATATATAGCAAAATAGTTTTGAAAATTTAGTTTTGACTAAAATAACATCCATATATATTAAGGCTAATACGATAAAAAAAAATGGATGTTTAATGGTATTTTAAGATTTAAGTTTTCTATTTATTTTGATTTTTGTTTTGTTTTCGGATTGGTTTTATATATTTATTTTTTTAAACATAATTATATCTTTTTTAAAGTTATATAAAAAATATTATATATCTGTTATTCCAATCTTTTTTTTCAAAATTCTTTATCTTTAAATATTTTTTATTTTTATATATTGTAATATTTATGTGCAAGAGTTTTATATTAAATAATTGCTTAGAAATATTTTTGTTTTTTGCCGATTTATGTATATTATTTAATATATATTTATTGCACTTATTTAATATAATATAATATTATATAATATAATTTATGATATAATATTAATATTTTTATATTAAAAAAACTATAATTTATTATTTATATTTTATAACAGTTCATATTTTATTAAAATATTGGAAAAATATTTTAATAAAATATAAATTGTTTGTAAATATACATAATTGATTACAGTTTTTTTATTTCTATTTATATTGAACAATTAGCTCGCTAATAATTTATGTAATAATATTATTTTTGGTCACAAATACAAGAATATAATAATAATATGATAATTATATTATTAATAATATTTTTATTTGATATTTTTAATTATCATATATAAATAAATTATATTTATATAAATTACATATAATTTATTTACATATATTTTTCTTATATGATTTAAACAAATTATTATATAAAATAGATTTTTTATTTTTTTGACATATTCCTTTCATATTAATTTTATTTTATATATGTTTTTATTTATGCATTGTTTTATAATAACAAACAATGACAATTTTTTTTATTTTTAATATATAAGTTTACTTAACATCTTGTATTAATTTTATTTTTATTATTTATTTTTTTTAATAATAGTATAATAATAATATTATTAATAATATTTTATAATATATTTTTTTTAATATATTATAATAAAATATTATTAATAATATTTTTATTTGATGTTTTTAATGATTATATATAAAAAAATTATATTTATATAAATTTTATATAAATTATTTATGTATATGTTTTTTATTTTTTTACATATTAATTTTATTTTATATATGTTTTTATTTATATATTTTTTTTTTTATAATAACAAACAACGATAAGATTTTTATTTTTAATATGTGAGTTTATTTAACATCTTGTATTATTAATTTTATTTTTATTTTAAATTTTGTTATATGAATTTTCACTTTTAAAACGATTTTTTATTTATTATTTTGAACTTAGTTAATGATTTGATTTATATCAACTTTAAGTATATTTTAAAAAATTTTCAAGCAATCAGGCTGCTTTGTACCTACCAGCAGCTTCATTCTGACTATAATTTTCACTGGTTATCCTTTTTCACTACACTACAAGGAGACGTTCCTTTGCAAACACTTGTCGGTGAATGAGTCGTTAACACTGAACAAAAAACGATCGAAGCAACTAACTTTAGTTGGCTGCCGACTTAGAATCAAGTTGTTTATATAGACGCGGTTAGAAGCGCGTATCTCAGTTCAGTTGAGTTGAGTTCAGTTCAACTTCGTTGTGTTTGGCTGAACAGTGAGCGATTTAATGATAGAAACTAAAGCGAATACCCGCACTTTTATAGGTAATTCGCTGTTCGTATTTAAGATGCCGAAATCGAAAGAAACACTAACTAAAATTACTTCAACAACTTCAATGACTGCAACATGAAAAGTCTGCAAGAAGCATGTTACGGCAACAACAGCAGCATTAGTAATAGCACTGGCAACTGCGGTCATGGTTGGTGTTAATAATGATTTTGATGGTCAAAACTTAGCAATTGTGGTCTGCAATCTGGCAATAGAACCGAGTGATCCAAGACTCATGAACGATTGCTTAACTCCATGCCAATTTGCACAGAATTTTTGTTTTCCAAATACTCGTATGTTTCGCAACTTTGTTAATTTAATTAATTTTGTTTAAAACTTTTAATTTTTAATTTGTGATATTAATTAGTTATATAAATAATTTTAAAGCATATAATTAATTGTTTGTTTATAATTAATTTCCAAATTTAAATCATGTTTAACGGAAGGCATCACTTGCTGTGCATAATGACTTTTATATGCTGTATACTCGTTTTATTAATTTTTCTTTTTTTTAACTACGAGTTGTAAGCGCAGCTTCTGCTTCTTCAACCGTCTGTCCATCCACTTAGCTGGAAAAATAACTACTGTAGCATATGCCACAATGTTAAATGTTAAATCAAAACTTAACAAAATTAATTTTTTTAATATATTGCATTAATAAAACTACTATGCGAAGAGTATGAATGAAATTAACAATGATCAGGTCGTTATTAACATATAGATGCGAAGTATGGGTCTTTAAAGCAAATAAACCGATGCAATTGTTTTAATTCAAACTAAAAGTCCACAGTGTGAATAATACGTCTGTAAAGTGGTATATACTGCAAAAAAGTGTCATACGACACGTGGCACAAAACACCACTGACGAACAAACAACAAAGAAAACATTGAAGTCGTACCACAAAAACGAAGGAAAAGAGAACGGAGGCGGAAACCATGGAAATAGGATACAGAACATGATATCCAGATATCAGGAAGAAAATAAGCTAACGCTTTGTAAAGAAAGCAATGGGTCACTGAAACTTAGTGTCATAATAAAAATAATAAAATAATTAACATAAATACCATTTGCTCTAGTATTCAGTGACATTACAGTTTTTGTGTACAATGGACATATATCTAGTATTCTAGTATTGCTCTAGTATTCAGTGACATTCAGTTTTTGTGTACAATGGACATATATCACAATTAAAAATATAAGTTTATTTCAATATAATAAACGAGAGAGAGTTTAAGTTCCATTATTTCCATTAGATGACCATTATGTGCCTTTATTAATAATGAAAAAAATGAATGACAATGCAAACCTCAATAGTACGGTTAGAGTCAGTCTGTAAAATATTGTACTGCAGGGCATTGGGGTACTGAACCTTGTAAAACACACTAAACATTTTAGCGGTCCTTATAAAACATAGTAAGAGTTATGGTTTAAGAAACAGTACTCTGCTGCACACTAAGATAAGCCAATAAGTTAACTAAAATATGTAAGGTGAAATTAAAATTTTTTTTAGATAAATTAATCCATAAAGTGTAACTGTTTGGTAATGAAATCGTTAGATAAATGCGTCAAAATGATATATGTCTTAATAGATTTATAAAATCAAAATATTATCACAATTTATAATTTATTAAACTAATTATTTATAATGAAAAATTCTGTTAAACTACGTATACTCATCTCGATGGTTCTAATTTATCTATGGGGGTTTTTGGCAAGAAATGTTTTATTAAATCGGTGAATAATTGTATGATTTTATTGTATCAGTCGATACAATACAAAAAAAAACGGGTACCACCTAAAATAATACCTTCTGTATCCGATTATCAAAATTTTAGTACTGGAGATTGAATATAATATCCTTGAGGCATAGGAATTCTATCATTCTTTTACGTATTTCTTACTTCTGCAGCAGATGATTCTATTTTGATATCTCATAAATAGGTTTTTCTATATATAATGCGGTCAAACTGATTTATGGGAAAAAATTCTAGGTTTTTATTAATTGTTTTTATCATATTCTATAACTGACATGGAAAAGTGCAGACAACATAAAAGTCATAGAAGAAAATTTTTCTACTAGTAGACTTTTTGTAAAAGTCTGTTCTAAAACGCTTATGACTGTTCATTAAACAATTGTTATCCATATTGGTTGACACACACAGCTATAATATACAAAATGTAAATATCAATGTTCATCGACAAGCGCTAAGTAATGACACAAACAGTGTACAATTTCAAAAATTTTTTATTTTGATAGTATGTTATATAAAAATTTGATATTGTATTTGCTGTTGAAGTTATTTTTTTGTTTTTTTTTTTGATAACATTACATGCACACCGTAATTCTAGAGCATTGTTCATTAAATCAATAAAATTCTTATTGTGAAGTAGCATTTGCATTATCTTCAAGTATCCTCTATGCAGTAGCAAAAGAGTAAGTAGAAACCATCAAAAGCTACAACGTGAGACTTGACGTAACTAAAACCACCTCTTAAGAATAAATGAAGAAGATTTCCACAGCAATGTGGAAACTTCATTTCAGCAACCACGGAGAGACTTACAATCAAGAAGCTTAATACTTAGTAGGCTAGGCTTATTTAAGGCCGAGAGCATGGGCGTAGCGTAGAAAGATTGAGAGTTGGTGGAAGGAGCAGGGTTATTGCGCGAATGCGGGGATTAACTAGTGGTAGACTAGTTAGACTAGGCATCCCACGACTCTAAAGTGGGATGATGGGGTATCCGAATTGCGGTCATCAAAGTTAAGCATGAGATATTCGGCAAATTTGAAGCGCATGGCTTGGATGAGGTCTGCAGAGAGGGTGCTGTGGGTAGTGATGTAGGTGGGGGGTGGGGTAGAGAGAGTAGGAAGTGCAGCTAGGTGAGGTGCCATCGGGCGAGTGTGAGAAGTTACTCAAGTGACTTTAGCTGAGTCGTAAACAACGGTGACGAGGATGTGTTTACCGTCAGGCTTGTGCTTGTAGTTTGTGCAGGTATGTTGGAACTTGCGGTCGAAAAAATGTTTTCTTTACATCTGGTCGGAAGTCATTGCAGACCAAGGTACCTATCTTCTATAGCTTATATCAAGTCAAATGACAAATTAACCGATCATATGCGCAGAATGATTAATGTTGGTTTGTTTTCAACTTTATATTAAAAAATATAAGTCAATTTAAAGATCTTAAGTTGTGATTTTAAAGTCGGACTATTTATACTTCACATTTGTAAAGATGTTTGGGAGGTTTTAATAAATAACAATGCATTTTGTTTATTAAAGTAAAAAAATTGACAATTATATAAAGATTGTAAATAAAGACAGGTAGAAAAGCACAAATGCCTAGAATATCTTTAATGGTATAAAAAAAATATTTCATAATAAGTGGTTGAATATTGAGTATGAGTAAGAGTTTATTATACAGATATGCTTTTATAATACAACGATTCTAGCAAAGAGTATATAAAATAGATAGATAGATTAATTAGATTATTTGAGACAATAACTATTAAGTTGTCTGTCTAAGACTATATATCACAGGATCATTTCTGTAGTCAGTCTTCTTTTACTTTAAATGCAAAGTTGAATATGGATTTAATATATTAAATTGAGTGGCTTCCATTTATAATATTCATAGTGGAATACTAAACTTTCAAATATTTAATGTGCTATGATAACATCCGACAAAATGTATGGGTCGTCCGAAATGATATTTAGGTAATTGTTGTTAATTTTTTCACTAAATATTTTTACTATTTCTGATATCGCAATACATTTTTTAACAATTTGATGCAATGCAACCGTTAAAATGAAATATTCGGAAGACATGCCAATCCATTCATCTTTTATCGCGGTCACAGCACATTTTAAATTATCTGTGCACTTGAAAGAAACATAAAAAATTTGAATGCAGTACATTCCGATTTGCATTAAAAACAATTCAGTTTCCAATAAAATTCATTATGCTATATGTGGATGGTTAATATGCAGAAGATTTTGGTTTGTTACAATAGGTATAACTCAGCTTTAGTTAAATTTTGAAAGACATCTAAATAATTTATTTATTTTTTTTTTGCATATAGAAAGAATTAAACAAGTAGTCAATATTTTTGTGAACTTGAATTTAAATGCTTATATTATATTAATATAGAATTATCTAATATTGAAATACAAATAAACACCAATAAATTATATATTTATTATTATTGGAGTAATCTTCTTTTAAGTTGCCAGGGTCAAACGGTTTTATTTCATTTATTTCAGATGAATTAAAATTTTTAAAAGCGATTTCAGCTTCAGTGAAAGGTCATACAAGGGCAATTAGACGATTGAGAAAAAACTAGATAATGCATGATAAACTATTAGTAGACCTAACAAAACATGTAGAAATATTTACTAGATTGTGTTTGTAAGAGCAAAAATAATTCAAAATTAAAAACTTAAATTACTTATTTTATTATTGCAGTTAAAACAGTTAAAAATTATGTTTTTTTTGTAGTTTGTGCGCTATCGTGGATGTAATATCTGTGAAAACATATTTTGTTTTTGGAAATTACACTAGTTTACAAATAATTAAAAATGTTTTTTTATATATTTTTAATCCGGCTGTGGGTCCCTTCTTGTTAATTAATTAAACATTTAATATTTTTTATTATACTATATATTTGGACACTCCTTGAGAGTCACCATCTGGATTACGATACGTAATTTTCTTTGTTCCATCGTCTATGGTATATTGTACGCTCAAGGAGAGTCAAAATATAGAGTAAAATAAGAAATATTAAACATTAAATTATTTAACAAGAAGGGTCCTACAGCCAGTTTAAAAATATATAAAAAACCATTTTGATAAACAGATCGAAAAATAAATCTAAAAAGTAATTAGAAATGTTTTCTGAAGAAGAGATCTATATTTTCTGTAGTAAAATTTTTCGCATAACTGGAAAACTATAATCATTTTTTTTGTGTGTCATTTTTCTTTTATTTGTGAAAAACTGTTGTTCTGATTTTTCTCAAAACATCACTCTGGATATAGTACCCCCATTACTTACATTATTTGTTGAATTTACTTATAGATTGTATATCAAATTGAAATTGAGACTCGTACAAATATTTTAATAAAAATGTACATATAATTTTCAATGTGATGGCACTCCCTAAGAAATAAAAAAAAAAATTTTAAAAAAGAACTATGTTAATAGAAACGTTTTGAATGCCTAAACATAAAAATCGAATAAAAATTTTAAAAGTTATATGCCATTTTCTAAATTTGCTCAAAGTAGTAGTTTTTTTAGCAAGCCAACCTAATATAAAAAAATTATTCTTTCGAAATTATTTCATAAAAAAAAAGTAACAACAAAAATTATTTTTATATTATTTTAATTAATTGAATTTTTGGCTGACCATACAGCTGTTTCAACTATTACCAAATACCCATCAAAAGTGGCCTTTGGAAATAATTCTTGTATTTAATTATTTGTAGCTAATTTTTTGAGACTGCAAATATCAGAAATCAAACTCGTGCCCTGCCAAATTTGAAGCTCAGAGTCAGCGCTTCTTAACTAACTGACCCAAAGCCGTACTTGACTTTAATGTTCGAACATATTTTTGGAGTTTTGTTAATTTGCTGTGGAAGTTTTCTTAATAAATCTACTTGCTGTATTCATATTTAAATGAAATCCTAAACCAACTGTAGAATAGTTGAATTAATTGTTTATATTTTTATTTTTAATTATTAAATTTCAATTTGTTTTAGCTCACTACTATTTGAAACTTCTCTATTAAATACCACAATTTCTGCAAAAGTAGTCACTTCTGTCATATTGACCTTAAAATGCAAATTTAACAGAAAATTATTTTATTAAATTTAGAGTTAATACCATATATAGAACATTATAGACCTACATTACTATAGAAATGTAGGTCTAGTCTTTCGAAATTTTTGGCTGTGAACCAGTGTTATTGTTACAGAAGTCTGAATGAAGTTGATTACATTGTCACATATTATTATTGGGATTGGTATATCTAATTTTGTATCAAAATAATTTTGCATTTTGAATATTTTTTTTTTAGTTTAACTATATATTTTTCTTATCGTTTAAATTGTACATAAATAATTTATATGATAAAAGGAATGTTTTCATTTGTTTATAAACAAAATATTCCTCTTAATTAAATTTTACTATAAAGATTAAATTTTAATTTTATAAATAAATAAAAATAGTTTTCATTTTATACGTAGTAGTTTCATTGAGTTTTTTCTTCGTATAAAAATTATCTTTATTATTTAGTAAATACATATGATGATTAGTTTATTATACGTATATATATAATATAAATCTGTACTTTTGTCTCAAAAAGAAAACTATGTTTCATGTGACTGAATCTTGTCATTATCTAGAAGGAAATGAAATTCGTTAGTCACATTCCTTACGACTACCTGACCTTGTTCTGGTATAGTAGGAAAATACTAGAGTGGAAGTTATTGGCCTCTTTGATAATAAGCAATATCACTATGGTATGATAGACATTTTGATCTGATTTCGAAAGTCTAAATGTTTTCTATTTGTTTATTTGTTTAGTATATTTTATTTTTGTTTTATTTCATTCTAATACATAATTTTATGCATTTAATTGACAACAATAATCATTTTCTATCAACAACAATGACGAATTATAACGACCTTAAAAGTATATATACCATTTGTTTTCCATCTTAGTTGATACATTGCCTCAATTTAATGTAATCTGCCGCTTGTAGTGGGAATAATAATCAGGCTATTAACCTGTATTCTTTGGAAAAAGTTCTCAGTCTGGCAAAAGTTCTCATCTTACTAATGATTAATAGGTCAAGGTAAACTTTTGAATTCAAGGACATCTTCCGCTATAGCGCGTAGGGAATGAAATATATGCTCCCGTTGCATAAACGGATAATTGAAATGAAAAGGATGAATATTCAAGGGGTTCGAGAGTTGAGCGAGGAAGACTTCGCTGATCTGCTGAAAATATATGCTTCTCGCACAATTAAGCCTCCTCCATGGTTTGGGTGCAAGAAGGTAGTGATTCGAATCAACATATTAACCAGTCAACGAAAGTACATACAGCACACATAAAGTGTGTCTTCCGTCAATTTCGAATTGATCAATTAAATTGCATATTAATTGATATGGGGCTCAGGGAGTATTATACTACATATTACAATGCTTCACGCCGCACCGAAACCAATCAGTGTCTGATCGTTGTTAGATGTGGATTCGAGAAGACTGAGTTTCCGGATCGTTAAATGGTCAGACGAAAAAAACGTTATTATTGCCATCTATTTTAACATTATGAATGGGACATTTCTCAAATCTCATGTAGAAGTTATCTATGATTAGGTCGTTATTTACTTCTGTAGGCACATATATGCAAATTTAAACTTATTTCTTTAAATCGCTTTGAAGGACGATTATAAATAAACGACTTGTAACAGAAGGCACACTTTTCACAAGCAATGTTTTTCAGATTATACTATACTCATACGTAAAAAAACAAATAAGAAAGTCTTACAAAAATTTTGAAATGGATGATGTATTCTCGATAATAATCGGAAGCTTATAAGTTTATAGTATAACTATATTAACCAACTATACAAAATAAAAAAGTATACTTGGATTGGTTATACCCCACGTATGATCTTTGTGGTCTTTATCATGTAGCTCTGACTTCAGGCCCGCAATGTACAACTATGAGTAGTAGGGCGTAAAAAATTGAACCGAAAAACTTTTGTAAATATTTCATTCTAATCAAAGATTATTATTTATATTAATTAATTCAAATTTTACCTAATAAATATTTATTTACGAAATCATTTTAAGAATAATTTTATTACAATAATTTTATTTATTTATCATTAATTTTTTTTTCGATTTTAGGTAAGTTAATATCATCTTCGGTTTCAATGTTAAATAAAGCGATAAATGTAAGTTATAAATTTTAAAATTAATATATGTGTGATCTATGAATCTTAACTTTTGTAAAATTTAACTTTAGTAAAACTTTAGTAAAAGTTTTGTAAAAAATTTTGAAGCACTTTATAATCCAAAAACAATTCACTTAAATTTCATCGATTTCATATAGGTATAACAAAGATTAGACATCATTATTGTAAGCGCATTCTTCAGAAAATAATAATACGAGATGTTTTTAACCACCGATTATAATACTTTCAACCTCAAGAGTCAATTCGTTGCTCTCCTGAATTTTTATTCCTTAGCAATCAATTGTTTATTATCGTCACTCTCACTCTCACTTTTAGATAGACATTGCCTATTAGGGAACTAATATAACTCAGGCCTGGAACAATATACTATAAAAATGATTCGGTAGCCTTTGTTTCAAAAAAATATTTATCTGAGAATATCTTTATATAACTTGTTTGAGGATAGAAAATTAATAATGTGAACATAATGCTTATCGGATAAAATCGGAACTGAATCTTTCGATATCCAAATAAGGAATTGTGTTCAATATAATTCTTAACAAATATATAGGATGACTTAACTTTATACGTTGACTTTATTCAACGAAGTAACATAGTCTTCATGAATGAAAAGTAATAATTTATTTCAAACTGTCTCTAGCATTTGAATGCACTTTTTAAAGAGCAATTTCTTTGGTTTAAAAATAGGCTTCAATTTGGACAATTACTTCTTTATTGGAATCTTAAATCATTTTTTTTTTTTAGAGCATGCTATTTAGGTTTGCAAACATGAGTAGTCGCTGGGATCCATATATTGTCAGTTCGATTGATGTGGATGCAATTCAAAGAGTATTAGAGTACTTCATTGCAGCAATAATGCTATTATATTTGCTATGGATTGTCTTTCTTATTCAAGGTTCACAATTTTTATCATTGGTTGCTTTAACTGCTGGCTGACTATTTAGTTGACTAATGTTTTGACTACTAAAGCGTAGTTTGGTGAATGTAGATTTTAGTCATAGTAATGTGAAAAATGCAAAAAATCCTATTAGTTATGCTTCGACAGTTTTAACCAGTCAGAGTTGGTTCCCAAAAATCATCTGCTTGAATGAATGTTCTATAGAATAAGAACTCAAGAAATTGCATAGTGATGGCGTGGTAATCAAAAAGTAATATTTTATATTAAATTACCAGTCGAGCATAATATACTAGATTCTGTTTATATGCCTTCTGTGGTAGTAAGATCCCTGCTTCTTAACGGCTTTGATGTATGGCTAAATACTTTGGACATAAGGTGAAACAACAATTCCTTAAAAACAGATGTTTGCAAAGTATTTCTCAAATATGTTGACTCAAGACTACTCTGAATTTAGAGTTACTAATGTGTAGAATATTATTACTTAAGTAAATTAACAGTTGGTTTGGTTGGATCTGTGGTTGGATCTATATAGGACCTATGATGTTAGGTCTTCTTCATAGTCATAATTTGTGGTGCTTTAAATATCCCATATATAAAAACTGAAGAATATTATATATTTTATGTTTTAGTACTTCTGATATAATTGACAACCTAAAATCGATTTGATACTTAACGAATTCTATATCTATGTTAGTAAGTTTTACCTGACATTATTTAAATCTTATTATTAATACTTCTTCTAAAAGGTTTATACGCCTTTAAATCGATACAGTTCAAAGGCAGTTACTGTTTGATTTTGTTGAAGACTGTTTAAGATATAGCGTTTATCTCTATTTTTTTAATGTGTATTTGCAATTCCCCGTAACAAAATATGTATGAATCATTTGTACTATGGCACTTATTGTTTCCATTCTGATATCTACTAGTTTTCCCTACAGTAAAATGTTACTGTCAAAATGGTGGAATGACTGGTAGTGATACTGTGGATATTTTTAGACTCACTTAAGTTGAGTATGGTATTTTACATTTTTGCATAGTTTAGCAGTATCAAGGCAGTAGACAAATTAATTGCAAACTAATATCTGATCTCTGGTCTCTAGTATTTCAAATGGGTAAAGGATATGTAAGTCGATTCCAGTGAAAAAAACTTTTCACCGCGTTACCTTCTCTGATCTGATTGTGATCTGACTGTTTACTTATATTACGTGGAAGAAATATTATGTCAATTAAAATCTTTATTATTAAAATTATTAAATTTAGTTCAGTAGTCTGATTTATTTGGAACTCTACATAACAATATTTATGATTATTGTTGTTATATAAAATCCCCAAAACGTTTATTATATCGCTAGAATGTCAGTCAGTATCTGTAGGACAGAGTTTTAAGCTGATTATATTTATTTTGAAATGAAGCTTCCACTTTCTGTGCCGTGCAATATTTATGGCATAAGTAGCTCTTTTGAAATCAGTACAATTACTTATATTTTTTACTGAAGATCAGTTGCGTGTTTGTTCCAATTAAAAAAATATTTTTTCATAAATGCTATTTCCAAACCCATTTTAAAGAAATAAAAAAAATGTACTTAAATTTTCGAATTTTTTGTGTTTTTTATTTTATTCATTTATATTTTTCGTCATAAAAATTAATTAAAAAAATTTGCGCTAAAATTTCATATTATAACATTTCAATCAAAAAATAAATTCGCTTATATACAATAAAAAATAAAATTAAGTCAATTTCAATTATTGCTAAAAAGTCTTGTACGCTTACGTTATCCCTACGAGCTAAATTTACTAGAACTATTAACGATCACATGCTGGACGCTACACGGAGACTAACGACGAGGAGGAGGAGAAGTTCCTGTGCGCCACTTTTTACCTTATTTTGTGTTATATTTGAACTTAAAGTACGCTTAAATATATGCCTTAAACTTCCTTAAAACTGAGCATAATCACTGTGTAAAAAATTATGGCTTAAGCTAATTTCGATTAAAAAAATATAAAAAGTTATTTAAATTAAAAATATCTTTAACGATAATGAGGCCATGCAAATAAATTGTGTCAATTTCAAAGAATTCCAATTTCGTTATCACTTCCGTTTCATATATGGAGAATACTCAAATAATTATAATCAAGAGATCGATCCTTAGTGCTGAAAATAAGGAGAAAAATATTTTATTTTATTATTCAAAATTTAAAAAAAATAATTACTTTTAATACGTAATATGTATGTATAATGCAATTAACAATATATACATATGTATATAAACCCACGAGTGGCTACAGATAGAGCTACGAAGACAAGGAAAAGTAAAAGTGCTTATATGACACTGACTTCTATTAGCAACAAATGAATAATAAGAATATATATATATATATATATATATAATATATATATATATATATATATAAATATTATATTGTATATACAAATATACATATATATATTATTTATATTATATAATATATATATATATATAATATAATATATTGAAAGTAAATGATCAAGTATATATCTTTAGGTCAAGAAACGAACATTGTTCGTGTGGGTGAATGGGCTTCACTTTTCAAATTAAACAAGATATATATAAGGTGTCATAATTTAGTCGAAACAATCTTTTTTTTTTTTAAAATCATACTTATAACTTTAAAGCTTTACTTATAACTGTAATGTTCGCATATAAAGTATTGTATAGCTTAAAGCTTAATATGCTATTAAAAAGACAATAGCTCGGAAATAATGGCTTAAAAGTAAGGCTTACGAAAATTGTATTATATATTATTGTTAATTTTAAAAAGCACCCATTTAATTTCCGTAAACACACAATAATCAGTATATAATATTGTACGAAATGTCCCGTAAATATACAATAATATATAATGATAATGTTAATATAATTGTTTATAAATGTGCACACAATATCTATTATTATCTACTATTAGTTATTAGTCTACTATTGAGACTTAAATATCATTATTAGTTTTATGCAATTGTAATAATTTTTAAAATTGTCAATTTATTTTACTTACTTCGTAGCCGTGATGTTCGTAATGTTGTTCATGGTGTTCTTCATGATGTATGGGCACATGGTGGTGTTCTTCTATTTCCTTATGTACAAATTCTGGCTCTTTGTATGAGATGTGTTTCTCGTGATATTCGGGTACATGTTTTTCAATGTGCACGGGTACATGCTTAGCAACGGGTACTTTAACTGGGTATGGTACATGTTTCTCAATTTTTACTGGTATTTCCTTGATAACTGGATATGGTGCAGGTACATGTACTTTAACTTCATAAGGTACTGGCTTCTCGACATGTACTGGTACTGGACGTTCGTAGGGTACCTTTACAGGTACAGGCACTTTTTTGATAACTGGTACTGGTACAGGTTTTTCAACATGATAAGGTACTGGTTTGTCTACATGATATGGTACTGGTTTCTCAACTGGTACTTTGACTGGATAGTGTACAATCTTTTCAACTGGATATGGTTTTTCTACTGGTACATGTACTTTTACTGGTACATGTACTTTCTTTTCGACTGGATATGGTGCTGGAACATGTACTTTGACTGGAACATGTACTTTCTTCTCAACTGGATAAGGTTGAGGAACATAAACTTTTACTGGTACTGGACGATCATAAGGTACATGTACTGGATAGGGTATTTTCTTTTCAACTGGATATGGTGCTGGAACTTCATGTGGTACTTTCACAATTTCCTTAACCTCATATGGTATATGTTTAACAACTGGATATGGTTTTGGCACCTTTACTTTGATTGGTACATGAACATGTTTTTCAACTGGTACGTGAACATGCTTCTCAATTGGTACAGGCACTGGAATTTTCTTGATAACAGTTAAAGTTTTTTCCTCATGTATGGGTAAATGGTGATGATGGTGGTAGTCCTCGTAGTGGTGTAAACCACGTTTCGTTTTTGTAGTTTCGGTATCATCGGCTTTTTTGTCTTCAGCTGCTGCTGTTTCTACAGCAGGCTCTACTGACTTTGACTCAGCACCTGTAGGCTCTTTTTCGGCTTCGGCTTGAGTGTGTGTGATGGCTAGAAGTAGCACAAGTGCTAGGGGCAATGTTGTTCTCTAAACGTGTGTAAATATATTAAGAAAAGGATTTAATTAATTTCTTAATTATGAAATATTATTTTTTTTTTGTATGTTAATTATGTTATTCCATACAAATTGTTTTATTTTATTTTCAATATTTTTACAGTTATGGGTAGGTAAACACTTTGAGTTTGCAACACTTCGTTAAATTTGTTTGCAATTATTTTGGTTTTTGTTTAATTTTTTTTACAGTTTTTATTGCTTTACACTATTTAAGCTGTTTTTAAGCTGTTTTATGGTAAAATACTCAACAGTTTTGTGTGAGATACTGTATCTGATTGTTCATGCATGTTGCTTTACATGATTTGTAATAACAGTAATGTTCAGTAAAATATCTTGCAGTCACTGTTGTTGTGTGCTGGCAAGTTATGTTTTATTATATTTGTTTATTTTTGAAATTGGATTTTTTAATTAACACAAATTGTTTTCTTCACTTTTGTTTTTCATTTATTTAACACTCTTAATACGTACCACGAACTTCATTTTTCTGATTTTCTAAAAATTCCTTTATGCGAAAGGAATGTATAAGCGACTTTTTTAATCCTTTTTATGCCGATGTCAAGAAAATAAGCTTTAAATAAAAAAATATATATTAGTATATGGAAAATCTGTGCTAGTCACTCAGCCTTTGTTGTAGACAACAAAAGTGAGTTTTCTGAAATTTATTTACTTCACCGCACGAGCAACAATGTAACGCGGGTAGGCCTTTGCGGCTACGGTGTGAATGGCTCAACGGTAAACGGTTTAATGATAGAAGTGGAAGCATTTGCCGCACTTTTATATTTCGGATCGTTGCCAATCGCACCAAAGATGCAGAAGTATGAACGTATTAGACATACGAGCAAGCAAACAATAATAAGAAAAATAAATTAAAGAAATATACATATGAGTGTATATATTTCTTTCTTGAGACGCGATATACTTACTTCACTGTTGTTGCTGCTGCACAGAAAGCAGAAAGGTTGTAGTCGCAACGCAACGCAACGCAAAGCAACGCAACAGTTGCAACGACAATGACAGCAGCAGAGCTGCCGCAACAGTGAGCGCAACAACAACAACAACAACAACAACAACAACAATAATAATAACAACAATAACAACAATAACATTTATGATGGTCATAAGCAATTTTTTTATTATTTTTTTTCAAATATAATTTTCTATATATATTATTTTGTATTGACTATGCACATTACGGGTCATAATTATGTTAGGTGTTGTAAGAAATGCGCTGATCTATGCCGCCGGATCGGAATTTTGGGTTTGAGTTTAAAAGCGCGTAGCGCAGTCAAATAATTTCAATGCAATTCGGACTGACCGTGGTCTGCTTTAATTACGTGCACAAACAACAACGTTGGCAGCTACGTACCACGGTTTTTCAAAGATTTTAACGTTGACGCACTGCAGATACGTAAACTGCAAAAGACATTTCAAAATTGCGAATAGTATGCCAAACTCGTCAATAGAGTGTTTGTTCAGTTAATTTAGGAATTTGCATGTCACTGTGCCTTACATAGCTCATTACTGAGTTGCCGATTTGGACATTCGTACATGTGCGGAACACTTATGGTAATTTATGTATCACGTTTAAATGGGACTACCGATGAAAAAAATGGGACTACCGATGAAAAAAATTTTTTTGCCATTTTTTTTTTGACGTATAAAAAGCAATACCCATAAGTTTAATGACCATTGAAATATAATAGAGGAGTTAAATTAAAGAGTAAGTAGATAGTTTTAGATGTCTACTTGTAGTTTTAAAACAAATAAATGGTAAGATTAAAGTTTATAGATCCTAGATTGCCAGATCCTAGATCGAAGTTCGTCTTTTGTTCTAACCACTAATTTGAACAGAAAATATTTAGTCTTTTGTGACAGAATACCTTTTGCAGATCGTACCAGACGCAATATCAGACGCAAAATTAAACACCAGCTTAGGACATCCTGATATCAATGCATAAAAGTCATTCAAAATAGCAAATAGCATTGACAAATTGGTTCTACTTGTAACAGTAGTTCGTCTTTTGTGCTAACAACTAATTTGAAGAGAAAATACTTAGTCTTTTGTGAAGGAATAGCTCTTTCAAAAATTTTTTCAATATCAGACGCAAAAGTAAACACCAGCTTAGGACATCCTGATATCAATGTATAAAAGTCATTCAAAATAGCATTAAGTGACAAATTGGTTCTCCTCAGATAGATCCAACTTGTTCAAATAGTAACACAGGACATAGAGTGACTTTCTCGATGATTTAGTTCTTTAGCTTAGCGGTTAACTGAAGTATCGCATAAGTATCGACTTCTTTCACTTATAATATACAAAATTTTTTATCTGTAACTAAATTATTGACAACTTGTTCTAAGATTTAAGGCCACAGAATTATAAGGCCGGCTGCTGACTCTATTCTTCTAGGATTTACCATGGATTCATTACAATAAGGTCTAATATAATAGCGCATTCGTCAATGTTGTACCTAACGTTTGCTTCCCAATTGCTGAAGCGTTTCACAGTAGTCTACTTATAATATCGAGTATTTTTAAAATGTTTCAAAATAAAATTAATTTTTTGTTATTACATACTAAAAAACACCTACAGTTCAAAAGACAAGTCAATATAACTTTACAGGTCAATATAACATATTATTAAGTAGTAAACATATTTAAACGCTCCGTCTCCAGAGAGACTTATATCCGTCGGGACTGCTTTCGCATTATTTCAGGGAAGGTCCCTTTTATGATGGCATTTTAAGTCATGCTCTTTTCATTTCCGATCTGTATCTACATTTCCATTTTTGTATCGAATTATTGGTGTCTACAATACTTATTAGCATAATTTCTGTTTCTCCTTTTTAAATGTAATTTTTTTACTTTGAAAAATGGAATGACATAAAACTCAATCATTCACCAGTTCTCTGGTTTTGCTATCATATTTTTCATTTTATTTTCGGGACTTATTGGTCCCATCCGAACTGTTATCTCTTCTTTAAATATAAGCCAACTATTACAGTAAAAGAAGATATGCTTTGTTTCATCATAATTTTCATTGCCATAAATGCAGTCGGAGAGATCCGCCTCTCCCATGCGATACAGGTACTTACAAAAGTATCTATGTCCGGTCAGCATATGGGTATAATTTGTCTATCGATTTCGGTTTGAGCCAGATGATTATATTACGTTTCAAGTCTAGCTGTCCGTCTTCTTTACATGCTATTGTTTCATCTTTCATGTCACATAGTAATGGTCTGCTCCTGATTTTCACTTGCCATTCGTTAAGTACACGCTGGGACGCCTTTCAATAGACCGCTATTATTTTTTTTTTTTGCGTGTTTCAGTTTCAGTCTAGTGTGTAAGCCCACTCTTCGCTACTACAGAAAAAAATGGTTTATTGTTACCTTAAGCAATTTTCAGTTTTCCGCAACGGGTCCTTCTGTGTTTAGCCATTAATTTGTGCAAGAAGGAAGTGGCCTTCTCTACTTTCTCTTTTATATGGTTTGAACTTTCCGTGAATTAGAACTAAAAAATCTGTTGCAAGTCCGAAGAGCTCATTCATTTGCCAATTCATTTAATATACTTGCCATTGGTATCATATATAAAGTCAAAACTATTCCTCCACTAAGAAACCTAGTTTTGATATAACTAACAATTTTGATATTAAATGTATGACTGCTTGAATATCTACTAGTTTATTTTACATCAACTTGGATAAGATTCATTGGACAATATGAATTCGTGCTTTTTTAAAAGCATAAAAGAATTTTTCAAATTTTTTGTATTCCGACTGTTAATTGTTTGTAGTCCTCTAATAAATCCTCATTGAATAACTTAATTTCCAATAAAGCAAATAACAAAGAAATACCTGTCTAAATTTTCCTACCAAAATAGTTTCAAATTATTATTGAAATGCAGTAATGCGAAAAGTCTATAAATTTTTAAAGCTTTCTGATATTTTTACGATGATTACCCAATACGAGTTGAGGCCTTGTTTTGATATTTTTTTGATTGTTGGCAGTTTGTTGCCATTCAAATGGTGTTGACGACTAAGCTGGTACAAGCCCATGTGAATTCAAAAACTGCTTACTAATAAAGGAACATTGAATAAAGTTTGTGGTTTAAATGACATTATACTTTACATAATGTTAGAGAAATAATACTGGACCTATATCAGAATCTTTGTTATTACATTAAATATGATATCACCTCGTCAGAATATGCTAACAATATTGATATTCATTTAATTTAATTCCTTTAATTTTCTATAATCTAACCTTCTTTTATAAGGTCCTAATAAAAGAAGTAAATGCATATTAAAATAAAATATAAAAAAGCCATTTTCATGGGAGAGCCATGATTTTTATTGAAAGTTTTTTTTGAAGATTTATAAGTTATTGTTTGTTCTAAGTAGCTTACATTTGAACTTAACCGGCACGATGTCCAAATTTAAAATAGTTCTTTGATATCTGTTCAAGCAGTCCATTGGCAATCAATCCCCTCAAATACCATTTGATAATCCTTTGTGACTTTAAACCTATAACAGTTGTGGGATGTTGCTGCTTTATTTTCTTTACTACTGCTGTTATGGACATCTTGCGTCCCTCCTGATCCAGTTCACATAAAGCCTCCATAACATTCTTTTGTGGGACCAACGGGGCGCATTGTCTTGGTCGTCTTTTGCTCTAAGATATGTTGATATTTATTTCAGCGAAATTAAAAAAAAGAATGAATTATCAGAACATACCATCTTTCCTAAGTAATTGCTTTGTAAATGAAAATCTTAACTACGGCAGAAACAAATTTCTGAAAGTTAAAACAAAATTGAATTGACTAAACTGATTTGACAAAATAAAAAATTTTTTAAATTTTCTAAGCTTACGTTATTAACTTTGGTGCAAGAAATTCAATGAATACTTTTTTAATTTGGTTTATAAAAAAAAAAATTTAGTTTCTTCTTCTTCTTTTTTGAACTTAGTGCTGTTACGCACTTTTACTCTATAATAGCTTGGGGGCTTATCACTACCCCACACTAGGCTTTAACTAGGCTAAGAAATCATATCATTTATTTGTCTTTAAGTTGATGACGGACCTTGAATCAGCATATCTTCCTGAGAATCCAGAAGTGGACTTGAGGATTGTAAGGGCCGGGTTTAAGTAGCGTATCAACTTTAGAGAATAATTTTAGAGCTCTGTCTCTGACATATTTCTTCACTGAGTCAATCCTAAGATCTCTATGTATGTATGTTGATCTAATATACCATGAAATCTTAAACAGTCTTCTTAAAGCCAGGTTTTGATGTATCTGTAATTTCTTTAAAGCAGTATTTGAGGCTTTGCTATATGTAACACATCCGTACAGTAGTGCTGGTCTAATTACTTGTGTATAAAGTAACTTTCTGTTTTTAAAGTTGAAGTGATAATTATTAAATAGCGGCTTCAATAAATGTAGAATCTTAGAGCAGTTATTCCGCTTGTATTTCAAATATTTAAGCCATTTGAACCGTTTGTCAAAAGTGACCCCCAGATATTTTATGCTATCCTCCCACCGTATCTCCGTGTTATTAATTAAAATGTTTATTAAAACATTTATTTTGATTTTCAAATTTCGTCACTATTATCATTCGTTTTTATTCGAAACAGATATCGTGTCACGCGGTATAAAGTTCTTAATTTAATTATTTGTCTTATAGCTTTTAAACTAAATTATAATAGAATTTATGTTGCTGAAAACACAATTAACGCGAAAAGAGATTTAATAAACTCAGAAAGATTTTAGTTGGCATACATAAGATAAGATGATCTGATTTGATGTTGTTCTGTTGTCCTTTTACTTACAAATACTCGTATATAAACTCATGCTATAGCTTGGGTCTTTTAGTGGTGTTTGTGTTATAGGCGTATTGCTAATTCTCGGCTCAAATTTCGAAAGTATTCATACTGCCCCAAATTAAGGAAATCATATGTGTTTTGTTTACAAATCAAATGTTAAAAATTACATGCTCCAAGCACCATTTGTATCTGGGAAATTTTAAAAGTAGATTATTACAACTATAAAGAATTTCTATAAAGAATTTCTATAAAGAAAGGCCATTTTCCTTAATTGCGTTCTAACCTCAAAACTGAATTTTATGTGGAAAAAATAATATAATTTTGTTGAACCAAAGATGAAATTAAGATTTTTTCTAAATTAAGATGTGTCTAAACATAGTGTTATGTTTATTATTTATTATATTTATAGCGTTTTCTTGCATATCACCAATATATAATAATAATAAAAACGATTACCACAATTATTGAGAAAAATTATTTGAATTTTTATGACAATTTTAAACCTGAAAAATGTTTCTTAAGGGCTCTTATTCATGTATGAGTAAGACAAGCAAATGTGTTTGAAGGAGTTGTGAATATATCCAAAACACAATGCTCAGATAAGCCTATATGGCCTACAAAGATGTTTGCAAACTGTTTTTCACTTCGAGTACAGACGGCAACGTCATCGTCTAAAACTTTGAACCATATTTATACTTTCATTATGAACATGGAACTAGCTGTGTTACTATTGGAGAGCAATTTTGCTTTATTGTCCTTAACTACATATTAATGTTAGTCGGGACATGATTCCAATTTCACATGCAAATTAAAATCTGTTAACCAATGATATATGTCAAGACTATGATTTGATATAGTTTTTTATGTGATTACTTATAGACTTATACCAAATTCTGTATTTTTACAGATAAAATTATAATAGTAATTATTACAGTTAAATCATCTTCTTTGTATTCAGATCTATTGAAATCAGTTTGTTATATGTGTAATTAAATTTTTTTTTAGGCTTGTAGACTCCTAAAAAATTTATAATTTTATAAATGTAAAAAAGTTATTGTGAGCTGTACTTAAGTACTAAGCAGACTTTTGTTTGTAATCTCTGTGTTGACAGTCTAGTTTTTCTTTAGATAGTAAAAGGGACATAAGTAGACTGGCGACACTCCTCATCTTATTTTTGGTTAATAAATTGAGGTGCACTTTTGAAATATACGTCCCCATTACCTACCAGCATTATTAAAACGTTGAAGTTGAATATTTAACCGTTTAGAAAGTTGAGCGACAAATATTTCGACTATCCTATTAGGAATATGTACTGCTCGCGGAAGTAAGCTGCCTTCATATCTAGTGAATCCGAATCGATATATTAAGCAGGCAGCGAACGTACATTTACCAGACTTAAAGTATGTCTTCGTCAATTACGATCAATTTAATTTCGTTTTAATTGACTGGAGGAGAGTCACGTTACCTTATGAATACAGGGCTCAGGGAGTATTATACTACATAATACCATGCTACGCGCAGTATCCAAAATCTAGTAGTCTATGATCGTTGTTAGAGGTGGATTCAAGTAGGCTGAGTTTCTGGACCGTTGAAAGGTTACAAAAAAAAAGTGTGCGTTAAAATTAACGCGATTAATTTAACGTTATGAACAGGATAGCGCTATATATTTTTTCGAGTCTCATATAGAAATCGTCCTTTTCTTCTGTAGGCACTATATGCAAATTTAAGCGTTGCTAAAAAATTTGTCTTTGTTGCGGATAGTAATAAGCCTTTTTTGGAATGGTGTGAAGTGCTGGACTGAGATCTTTTGCTAACCACAAAACCGTTATGTCGTAATAGATTCTCATTGTCGTAAAAAATGAGTTATATGTCGTAAAAAACAAACAAAAAACGTCTTATAAAAATTTTGAAATATATGATTTTGCTGCATTTTTTAGTTCGTATCTTGTCCATATGTTAAATGCATGAAGTTTTTAATTTTATAATTAACGGCATTAACTAACTATACTAAAAAAAAAAGTATAGTTGAATTGCTCATATTCTACGTAAGATCTGCTATGATCTTCCTCATGTAGTTCTGACTTGAAGCTTGGAATACACAACTGGACTAGTAAGACGGAGTCAATAGACCTGGAAAAACAAAAAAATTGTTTAACTCATTTAATTAAATAAATTTATTTAAATTAATAGGTATTGAAATATTAATGATTTTTGGTCCTGAAGCATCTTTTGGGTAGACACTTTATATTTCGGTTAAAATTTAAAATACGCCTATTGTCCTAAATATTTTTTTTTTGGTTTCTTAGATAATAGAATCAGCTCAAGAGTTTAAAAAAAGACACATAGAAAAAACTTGATATCAAAAAAAAGGTAGGTCGTGGTCGGGTCGATGATATTTTGAAATGAATAGACTTGCGAGATGCTTTTGATTTGCTTATTCGAGTAACGGATAGTCTTAATGTAAGTGTGTATGTAAGTAGGATGGTATATGGGTATTGCCTATTAGGGAACTAATATAACTCAGGCCTAGAACAATATAGTGTAGCCTTAAGTATAATATTTTAAAGATATAAATATTTTTTGATTGCTTTTTATGCGATAAGATATTAGTAACGCATTTAATATAATTGATTGGAAATAAAATATAGAATAAAATAATATTAGTTTTCCAATAAGATATTTTTTTTTAGCAATAATAATATTTAGACGTCAGCGTTGCGACTTTTGGTATTAGATAGAACTTTATGTCAGTTCTAGGGGAAAAATAAAAATTCTTATCATAATTATATGTCAAATAAGTGAATTATTTCAAATTAAATATTTATGTAATAAAATAACAAAAATCTAAATTCATTAATTAAAATTGTAAGTTCTATATGGTTTACCTCAATATTTCTTATTTATCAGTTATTAGTCACAGCATTAAAAATGCTAACTTTCAAATTAAATATCTTTGAATTTCTTTGAATCATTGAGATAAAATATATATTCAAAGAATATAGTAGTTTTAATTTCAGTAGCTTTAAAATAGAATTCTCAAATTTTAAATATCCATTTTATTGAAAAAAAAGCAATTTTTTTTAAATTTAATTTTAAACTTTTATTTTAAAATATTTGGCTAAACCTCTGTAACATCAAAATATAACAAATAATATTTTAAAATAAAATAATACATTTCGGTCACATTGTTTTAAAAATATTAACTTAAAATAAGTCGACTCACATTTTGTGAGACATCGCAACATTTCAACATTATAATTGTCTAAAATTATATAAAAAATATATAATTTTAAGTTTCTTAACTTAAAAGTCTTCTAAGCAAAAGCTGTCTTAACGGCTACATTTCTTATAATAGTTATTTGATCACAAGCTGGACGGCACAAGTAGACATACGACGAGGAGGAGGAGGAGTTCCTGTGCGCCAATAAGTTATATTATATTTTATGTTTATACAAAATTAGTAAATATACACAAATATACACTAAAGTAAACCTAATATAGTATAAAATCAGTATAAAATATTCCTTAAACTACTTTTCACATAATAAATTTTAAGTTTACTTATCAATAGATTCAATTAGTAACGAGCCAAGTATCTCAGTAACAATTTTAAAAAGTAATGAACGTTGTAGGTCCGTTTTCACTTTTTAGAGTCAGTTTCACCCAATTTTTTGTAACGTTAAGCGTTTCTCAGAACTTTCATTTACACAATTTAATGCTGTAAAGAGAGAAAGAAAAGAAAAAAATGACATAATTAGTAACCATGATGACTAGAGCCGTAATGGCCATAATCATGATGATCCACCTCATAGTCATGATGCTCCAATTCATGTTGTTCCAAACCATGTTCCTCCAAGCCATGTTGCTCTCCACCATGTTCATAACCTTCACTCTCCAAACCATGATGTTCAATTTCTTGCTGCTCTTCATGATGTTCTTCATGATGTTCCTCATGTTGTATTTCCTCATGATGTTGAATGGGTTCATGATGATGGATGGGTTCATGATGATGGATGGGTTCATGATGATGAATAGCTTCATGATGATGAATAGGTTCGTGATGCTCTTCAATTTTTTTATGAATGAATTCTGGTTCCTTATAGCTAATGTGTTTTTCGTGATATTCAGGAATATGTTTTTCAATGTGCACGGGTACTGGTTTCTCAACTGGTACTTTAACTGGGTATGGTACGTGTTTTTCAACTTTTACTGGTATTTCCTTGACAACTGGATATGGTGCAGGTACATGTACTTTAACTTCATAAGGTACTGGTTTCTCGACATGTACTGGTACTGGACGATCATATGGTACATGTACGGCAACAGGTATTTTCTTAATGACTGGTACTGGTACAGGTTTTTCAACATGATAAGGCACTGGTTTGTCTACATGATATGGTACTGGTTTCTCAACTGGTACTTTAACTGGATAGTGTACAATCTTTTCAACTGGATATGGTTTTTCTACTGGTACATGTACTTTTACTGGTACATGTACTTTCTTTTCGACTGGATATGGTGCGGGAACATGTACTTTGACTGGAACATGTACTTTCTTCTCAACTGGATAAGGTTGAGGAACATAAACTTTTACTGGTACTGGACGATCATAAGGTACATGTACTGGATAGGGTATTTTCTTTTCAACTGGATATGGTGCTGGAACTTCATGTGGTACTTTCACAATTTCCTTAACCTCATATGGTATATGTTTGACAACTGGATATGGTTTTGGCACCTTTACTTTAATTGGTACATGAACATGTTTTTCAACTGGTACATGAATATGCTTCTCAATTGGTACTGGTATTGGTACCTTTTTGATAATAGTTATAGTTTTCTCTTCATGTGCTGGGTAGTGATGGTGATGATGGTAATCTTCGTAGTAATGTAAACCACGCTTCGCTTTAGTTGTTTCACTATCGTCAGCTTTGTTGTCTTTTGTTTCAGCTGCTTTTTCTGCTGGTTCGGCTGATTTTTTCTCAGCACCTGCAGGCTCTTTTTCGGCTTCGGCTTGTGTGTGCGTGATGGCTAGAAGTAGCACTAATGCTACGGGCAGTGCTGTACGCTATTAGTAAAGAAAGATATGAAGGAGTTTCATTAAAATCTAGTTGCAAGTTCTAAAATTTTCTTTATTTATTTTATATATTTACTTTACTATATACAAGTATTTATAAAATAAAAATTTTGGATTATGTGCGTTATGATGTGTCTTATTTTTATAGATTAAAGCTTGTACGTGTTTTCGTAATCATTTATATATATTTTAAATATTTTTTATATATTTTTTTTATATTTTTTATGTATTTTTTTTATATTTTTTATGTATTTATAAGGAAAATGAACATAAACACAATGTAGTAAAATTGATGGCTTAATGCATCGGTGCTAATAGCTACAAGTCGGTCTCTTCCTACTTTCTCGTAATAAGTATAAAGTTGGATGAATTAATAAATACATGTGTAAAGAGTATTGAAAGCATAAAATAATGAAAATTAGCCTCAAAACAGACTTAATTGAAAACTGTGCAAAACAGGTCACCATTAATTAACCGTGCAAAATCGAAAGTTATTAATTATTTATTGCTACTGCGAACTTATAGCGGCGAATATTTTAGTCACACTTTTTGGTTTGCCCAATGATTTCAATTTTAAACGGTCATCGTCTCTATTATGCGTGGAAACTAAAACTTCACTAGATGTTTGCATAAAGGAAATATATTTTATATTTTTGTACTCCTCAATCTATTACACTCATGGATGAGCTTTTGATGCGAAATCTTGCGAGATACAATTTTGCTTTATTTTTTTTTTGTTAATAAACATTTTTGAATATTTGAAAGATGTTTAAAAATTTGAAGGAATTTATAAAAGAATGATATAAAAAAATTTCTTTTTCATAAACTCCATGAGAAAACATACAGGAAAACTTTGTAAGTCACAAGATTTATCTCATATTTTTTTGAGTTGTTTTTTTTTTAATTTTGCTGGAATGTATATAACTATAATGACAAAAATACTTCACTTGTAATTTTAAATAATATCATATTTTGATTTTTTTTTTTTTATTATTTATCACATTGTATATGACATAACTTTGATTCCGTTTCCCATAAAAATTCACTTTTTTATTATTTACTGTTTTACATATTCCACCATATGCCATCAATACATACCAGCAATTTCATTTTGATATATGCTCTATTTATTTGAAAAATCCTTCCTTATTAACACAACAACTTTAATGTATTTTATATGCACTTTTATGATTTTAATTAAAAATTTTGCATTCAATACTGGGAATGCAATACTCAAGCAACAGACACGATTTTGTCGCAGATAATAAATTGAATTTGTGAATTTTATTCAAATATTTGCTGTGCCGCGCACGAAAATTTCAGAAAACGTGGAAGACTCTGCAGTTGGCTATGTTGTCTATAGCTCTGAAGTTAACGAATTAATGATACAAACTGAACCAAGCCGTCGTACTTTTATAGTTAAATCAAAGCTGTTCAAATACAAAATGCCGAAATGCAAAACTGAAGCAAAATTTATTCGGCAACGGCGCTGCCTGAACGTTCAACTCAGCACAAATTGTAAAGTGAGTAGACGTTGTAAAGCAAGCATTGTAATACTCGCAGCGATTCCCTGAATACGCTGATATAGGCTATACACTGTTATAGCATAGCACGATGGTCATGGTTGGTGATGCTAATGGTTATAATCTGATAATCTGATACGATTATCTCACCAGTTACTAACCATCTTGGATAGTACGCTAAAGAAGTGCTAATTAGCAAACGAATGCTGGACTTGCTCGATTACATGAGCAATGATAATACAATTGCATACAACTCTATCTTCAATTCACTTTAATCCACGACTTGTTGTGCAGTTCTTATAAAAGAAAAGTTAAGGAAATAAGAAGACATATATATATAATTTCTTTTATTTAAGTAAGTTTATTTAATAATCATGTAGTTTAGCACTTCAAAATACATGGCTATGGCACATAGCTTCGAAACAACACTTAAGATGCATTTGGATTACGATCAATTGTTGATGATTACAATCAGTTAATGTTCGTTGTCTATATTCTCTTAGAAATAAAAGAATGTCTCAAAGTATGCAAAAACATACTCGTCGAGTATTGTTCAAAATCAAGTTTCATTATTTACATCAAAATGTGAATGTAATAATAGATGGTATTATATATGTTTGTTAAATGTACTAGTGGACAGACGGTTCCACTTGAATATATTAACAAAATTAGTGATCGATACAATAGATTTAAAAATAAACTTAAAATTTTAATAATTTATATTTTATTATTATTTTTTTTTAGACTATTTATATTACTATTACATGCTTAATAATAAATACATTTTTTTAAATTTAATATTATCATTTTTCTATCCGAAATAATTTCCTTATCATTGACTTAAATATATATATTTTTTCATTTATTTGGATCAGTATCTTTTATATATATATATTTTCTATATATAATATAGAGTTTTTTCGAACAGTACTGAACTACAACAGCAAAAACTCATTTTATATTATTTTAATTAATTAAATTTTTGACTGACCATACAGCTGTTTCGAGTATTGCCAAGTACCAATCATCAGTGATCTAGAAAATAATACTTGTATTAAATTATATTTAAATAATTTTTTGAGACCGCTAGTACTAGTAATCGAACTCGTGCCCTGCCAAATATGAAGCTCAGAGTCAGCGCACGTTAATCAACTGACACAAAGCCAAAGTATTTGACTTTAATGTTTACACGTTTTTCTGGAGTTTTGTTACTTTGCTGTGAAAGTTTTATTCTATACATAGATAACGAATTGAACATATAAAACTATTATAATTTACTCAAGCTAATTTATTAATAATGAAAAATACGAAAAATTAATCGATTGATTGATCGAAAGACCAGATCAGCTTGTGCTTTTTATTAATATATTTTTATTTTTTGTTAAAAATATAAACGTATACAATAAAAATATAAAAAAGTCAAATTTTTGTGCCCAACAATACGTTCTCGATAATTCTGACAATTATGTTCCAGAGGTTGTTCGGATTACTGAAATGTGCGAATTACCGAAAGATTTGTATTTCAACCAGTAATGACAAAAAAAAATTACTATTTAAATAAATGTTGTATAGTCGTCGTATGATATTGTATATATAATTTGTTTATTTACTATTATATATATGCCACATCTATCTATCTGATATCATATAAGAACTGTATTAATTATTAATAGAGAAATAAAATACGTAAATTTGTTCGTATATGTGTATAGGAATAAACGGAGTACCAGCTTTAACCAGAGCGGAGTACTGCGACCATGGTTAATCTTTTCTGTTGCAACAGACCCTAACCGAACAGAAGATATTCTGCCTTTCGAATGAAAGCCAGCATGTCGGCCGTTGAGGACCTTGTAATGTCAGAAGGGGAGAGTAATTCTCAATCCAGTTACCTCCTTCTGGCCTAGACCAACACTGGGCAGTCACAGAGAATGTGACTGGAAGTCTCGTCGTAATTGGAAAATATTTTATTTTCAGTATAAACAGATTTAAGGTGAATTGAAGTTTTGTTAACATAAAGTGTGTAAAGTTTTTTTCAAATGTTCTGAATTTTATAACATATTTGAATAGGGTTAGATAAGATTAGATTTAAGAAGGTGTCACTAACTCCCTGCATCCTTAAGAGAATTATTGTGACAAGCCCACTTCAATTCTATAGGCGCGTAGCAGTTAAAAATGCTACTATTTCTCTTGTAGAGATGTTTCCGTTGTAAGTGGATAGACAGTTGATAAGTATTGAAGTCTGAGTCTAGCACGACTATCACAGTGACACAGAATGTGTTTTGCTATTTCCTCTTCTTCTTGACAAAGTCTGCAGCTATCGTTCCTTCTTATACATAGAGTCGACAGATGTTTTTTGATTCCGCAATGTCCGGTGAGAAACGCTGTGACAAGTTGGATGCCTTTTCTGTTCAAGATTAGAAGCTCCCTAGTTCTGGCATTTTTAGGTTTAGCATTAGCTTGTCTGCAGTCAATTACGTTAACCTAAAAGTCTTCAGTTATTCATTAGTTATTCATTAGTTCAGTTGTTCATTAATTTTTAGTTTAAATAAGCTCCATAAAGGACCACAGGAAGGTCTTGGCGTAGTTAATTATAAGGCCGCACCTTTTCTGGCTAGTTGGTCGGCTTTCTCGTTTCTCACAAATCTGCTGTGTCGTTGCATCTATATTAAGTGGACCCTATTTCTTCAACTAGAAAAAAAATATGTACTTATGTTAGTATCAAATTTAGAATACTCGTATAATTAATATTCATAATGAAAGTTTTACTAGGACATATTTTATTGTACAGCTTGTTTTTCAATTGAAAAATATACGACGAAACAATGTATTACTTTATTTTTTTGAGAAGATACAGATATATTGTACTCTTGTAATATGTAATATGCTTTGCTTTATCTACAAAAAGTATCCTAAAGCAACTCAGGCCTAGTTGATTATTAAGTATGAATTGTACTATATCATTTAACTTGACTTTCTAGACATTGTTGGACTAGTAATGTAAAGTTAATGCTTACATACATATATGTAAGTTATTATCTTTTATATAAAATAATATCAGTGTAGAAAAATTTGAAGTTATTTTTCGATGTCTTCTGGTAATATCAATTACCTTTAATCATTAATAATATAAATTATTAATATATACATGATTAATATATATAATGATTTATATATAAATAAAAAAATTTTATTCAAGCTTGTATAATAATAACAACCTTAAGATATATAAAATATGACTTGTGATATATAATGTATATAATATAATAATAATATATTTAATATACGATTATCGGTATTGGTTCAGCAACCTGTATTCAACCTGTATATATATATTCAAAAATATTAACAAGAATAATATTGATAAAATAAATAAAGTGTTTTTATCAAATTAGTAGGCCCGAGTAGACTTAATATTACCTTAGACTGTCCTCTATATAGATCGCTTTTATACACATCTCATTTTATATAGAGTGGTGTTATGGGTTAGCACTGTTGTTGGATATTTAATGCGTCTAACATGCATAGAATATATACCTTGAACTGTCGTGACTTATGTGTTTTCAAGTATGCAAGTGATGTTTCTATTAAACATTTGATGTTGAAGAAAGCAAATTAAAAAACTCTTATATTGATTTTAAAAATATGATGGAGAGTTGGATGATATACTAAGATATCTGCAACTTTAGTCTAAATAAACAATTCATGTGAAAATAGATTGCTTATTAGCCTTCACTATATAATAATTAACTTAATATTAAAATATAATCGTCGTCTACAAACTACTCATGAATATAATTTTTTTAAAGAAATGCATGGCACTAAGAATACCATCAATAAAATTCAAATATTCAAAACAAGGTGTTATAAAGATCACCTTAAGCTCATCAATATTTCATTAAAATCTGCGAATTGATATCAAAGACAAAGCTATAAGACTTAAATAACTGAGTACTAAAACTTCACGTTCATATCTTTAAAAGACCAAAGAATCTAGTCAACGAAGAAAAATACCAACATCGGTACATGTATAAATTAAACATTAGTATAATGTCAAAATTTAAACATATTAATTAAGATATACAAAAATGTCCATCGATAGCAAAAAGTAAAGATTCTGAGAGATATCAACTGAAAACAAGAGTTGAATTTAATTTGCTCGTGAAATTATTAGATACTTAATTAAAAAATATCTCCATTCGATCTTCAAATCGAATTCCAGACGATTTAATATTCGTTCATGGTTTATCCTTAGGAAGAAAAAAAATAGGAGAAGAAAGAAGAATACTTCCAAGACTATATAACTTAGTTTTATTAAGTGATAAGTTTAACTGCAATACCTCAAAAGAATAATATAATCATTAAGGGTCTATAATTTCTTGCCATTCAAAATTGTGTGTGTACTACCTATTCTCCCATTTCAACATTATAGTGTTTTGGCGTTTAAATAAATCAACCCATAGCAATACTTAGCCCTCAATTTTATTAAAAATTCGGTATTGCTTTATTTTAAATCTTAAAAATTATTGACGGATCTAGAATAGTTAAATCAAAAAAAAAAAAATTAGGAAGTCAAATTGCTTAAGAGTT